GGGTAATTAGCTATTGAGCAATGCGAAAACTGCTGATAATACTGAGGGACCTTATATATGAATGCTTAGATTGTCTCGTCGTATTCCTATAGGTAGATGGGGATCAGCTGAGAGTCAGCTGATGCGAGCTTGACTAACGTGACCTGCCAGAACTAACGCTACGCTTGATTTAGTTGTCTTTTGAACAACTGAGAATAGCATTAGATCAGTGTTGTGGCGCTACTAACTAAAACTAGCAAAGCTACTGACTTTTTTAGTCTCAAAACAATATTGTTTTTCCAGTAACAAGTTTTTATTTCCCCCGGTGTCAGGTGACAAAATGACTATATTGCTGTGTTTTTATGTTCTGTGTACATAGGCTTGCAGCCGAATGAGTTTGAGGGAATAATAAAACTCTCAAGTCTCCTGAAATGCCCTTAACTAAAAGTTTAGCAAATTTTGTTTAGATGATTCATAACACTGAACTGTTTAATCACTCATTATTTATTCATATCTTCTTAGTAGCAAAATTATTATTTTGTTAAATGCTGCTTTTTATGTACATGCTTACATTTAAATGATATAAATTAGGGTTTTATAGTTATATTAGTGTAAATGTATGTGTTCAACTTTGGCATCATCCTACATGTGTCACGGAGTCTAAGTGTGGTGTAGGCAGACGACAGGATGAAGATTAAGAATGCACAGTAAACTTTATTACATGACGAACAAAACCCTTAACCAAACTTAGCATAGCATTAACAAACTGAAAACACAGGCAGATAAATACAGAGGCAAGCTAGGAAAATGAACGACACACAGCTGGACAGAATGAACGAAATCATATCAATTACCATGACAACTAAGGACAGGCGGGGACTAGAACAAAGGAGACGGAACAGAAACAAACTAAAAGTCCACGAAAGTGAAATTAAGACAGAATTAACTGATAAAGTGTTACAACATGAGATCCACATTGTTTTTGTGTCAGATAAATAATGTTTGTATTTATCAAAGAAATGACATAACTTGCTATGTTTCACTGATAAATCCAATAGAGCTTGTGAGTTTAAGCAGTGTTTTGTTATTATTTATATACTATTATAATTTTTTTTTCAATATTTTGAATTTATTTATTTTTTTTGCATTTTGTGTTTTCATTTGAATTTGAGTTAGGTTTAGTTTATTTCTGCATTTTTTTGTAGTTTTTTTATGTCTATATCGTTTTTATTAAATTGAGTATATAAATTTAAACTAAATGAAAATTATAAATGTTGCTTTGGCAAGAAGTCAGAATTCAGAAAGTGCTTTATTATGTTTTATTATTATATTATTATGTTTACACACAAAGGGTTGGAGCTAAATTCTGCAGGACACCGGCCCTCCAGGACCGAGTTTGGGCACCCCTGGGTTAGAGAGTCGGACTTGTAAGCCAAAAGTCATGGGTTCGAGTCTCAGAACCAGCAGGGATTGTCGGTGGGGGGAGTGAATAACCAACAAATAATGTTTGTATTTATCAAAGAAATGACATAACTTGCTATGTTTCACTGATAAATCCAATAGAGCTTGTGAGTTTAAGCAGTGTTTTGTTATTATTTATATACTATTATAATTTTTTTTTCAATATTTTGAATTTATTTATTTTTTTTGCATTTTGTGTTTTCATTTGAATTTTGATTAGGTTTTATTTATTTCTGCATTTTTTTTGTAGTTTTTTTATGTCTATATCGTTTTTATTAAATTGAGTATATAAATTTAAACTAAATGAAAATTATAAATGTTGCTTTGGCAAGAAGTCAGAATTCAGAAAGTGCTTTATTATGTTTTATTATTATATTATTATGTTTACACACAAAGGAATTTGACTTGGTGACAGGAGCTTCCAGTGCAGAAGAAAGTACGGACATAGTGCTGACATACATAGGAATTACACAGTAGAGGTGGAATATAACACTAATATAAGAAAAAAATGAAAATTAAATAAATAAATATACTGAAGTAGAAATATAGAGGGGGGGGAAAAAACCTGAAATAAAATACTTTTTTTATATGTTAACATTTATTTTTATTTTTATTGAGATAAGTGTTTTTTATAGGTTTAGTTAACTATAATTAACTATAACCCTGGTTTAAAGTATCTTTCCCAACACCGCATTATATGTACCTTTAGACCAGGGGCCTGTACCATGATGGTGGCTGAACAAACTCAGGGTTACAGGATTAGACAAAACCAAACCACTCCAATCCGACGCCTCGTCGTGACCCGTGTCTTAAGCATACAATGAAAAAACACCAACTCGTTGGCCGGCGACAGCCATGACGTCACTACCGGTGCGACTACAGTATAAATAGGCGCCGGGAGCACACATCATTCACTTCTTCGTCTGAAGCTAGCGTCCGCAGCATGGCAAGAAACCTAGAGGAGTGTGTGTGTGTGTGTGTGTGTGTGCGTGTGCGTGTGTGTGTGTGCGTGTGTGTGTGTGTGTGCACTTGGATGGGTTAAATCCAAATTCCGAATATTGGACACCATACTTGGCTACACGTCACACTCACACTTTACCTAACTAAAGTCCCTCTGAAGTCACACATCAACTCTTCATGTCTCGTTTTTCTCTCGCAGGCCCAGCTAAAGCGGAGAAGTGGAGTTGCAGAAACAGTAAATCCAACTGAAGCACAGACGCCTCCGTCTGTCCCCACACGCTCTCCCCGCACACCCACCAGGTCCCTCGGCCCCAGAGTGCTGCCCCCTGTTGACGCCAAGGACAGTGGGTACGTGTGACCAGAAACTTTCAGTAAAAAACGATTTATTATTGCTTATGGAATGTGATGCAATCACATTTTCATTGTCAGATCAATGTGTTTTATAACTCTTAAGCTAATTTAACCCTATAGAGCCTACTGTATTATATTTGATACATTTCTAAGGCTTCTAAATGATCAACATGATCAAAACCTTGCTGAAAAACCTGTCGTTCTTAATCTACTACATGCTTTCTGTCGTCTGATTGATAGTTCCTACTTTTTAGCAAGTAAAACGAATTTTATTATAAATGTAAAAACATCTACCATCAGATCATGGTTCATGTGTATTTTTGCTGTGAAATCTTTACTGATTTTTATGAAGTAAATGTAAGAATAACTTTCATATTGTTAGTAATATTTATAGTATATTGATGAACATACAGGTGCATCTCAATTTAGAATGTCGTGGAAAAGTTCATTTATTTCAGTAATTCAACTCAAATTGTGAAACTCGTGTATTAAATAAATTCAATGCACACAGACTGAAGTAGTTTAAGTCTTTGGTTCTTTTAATTGTGACCTCAGCAGTGCCACAAACTGATCCCCTCCATGCCACGCCGAATTGAGGCGGTAATTAAAGCAAAAGGAGCCCCTACTAAGTATTGAGTACATGTACAGTAAATTAACATACTTTCCAGAAGGCCAACAATTCACTAAAAATGTTTTTTTTATTGGTCTTATGGAGTATTCTAATTTGTTGAGATAGTGAGTTGGTGGGTTTTTGTTAAATGTGAGCCAAAATCATCACAATTAAAAGAACCAAAGACTTAAACTACTTCAGTCTGTGTGCATTGAATTTATTTAATACACGAATACACGAGTTTCACAATTTGAGTTGAATTACTGAAATAAATGAACTTTTCCACGACATTCTAATTTATTGAGATGCACCTGTACTTCCATTCTGGACTGATGCGACTTAGGTTTACTTGATTATCCATAGATCATTGTTTAGAAAAATCATGTTAAAATGTGATTATTAAATATGATCATCAGGCTTTTGAGGAATGTTTATTTGTTCATCTCTCAATCACCATTGTATTGCATTGCATTATATGATTTAAAACTACCATAAAACTAAACATTTAAATATAATCAAACTAAGTCATATTATTAGGAGATATAGAGGGAAAAATTATATTTATATGCATTTTATGTAAGTAGTCTGAATAAAATCGGGGTGTTTATTTCCTCCATATTCTCACTATGTCATATTAAATTAGCTATAAAATCCTGATGCACCAATTATGATATTCAACAAAAAACACACGCAAACCTTTTTCATATTTGTCTAAAGGTTCAAAAACTGTTCCATTTCCCAAAAAAAAAAAGTTCTTTCTGACTATTATTTCATATGTCAAGCTTTAAAGGATTAATTTCATAGTGCTGGCTTCAGTGTTTTATTATCTTTGATGCACATCATGTTTTACGGTGCCACATATTATGGTGCTTCATTTAGCACATTTGTCTGAATACGCCATTCAGATCATTCTTTTTACATTCATCATTATGTCAAATGTAATTATTGTGATTCATGTAAATCCAGGTCCGGCTCTTCACCCTCCTGGCTGCTTGAGCTCAAATCCAAGAAGCGAATGAGTCAACCTGAAAGTGAAGCATGAAGCTCGTGAAGCTCAGGTCTGTGTATTTGCAGGAATCACCGATCCAGTTCTCTGATTACCTAAATAATGAAGCTTCCCTGAAACTTTCCTGAAAATCCTGGAATATTTGCATTATATTTGTTCCCTTCATCTCCAGTAGAGGGGGACAAAATCCACATATATATCACTTAATTTAGTTCTTCTTACAGTTTCAAGAGTACATTAAATGATGTTTACCCTGCTGTCTTTCCTCACAGGTTTGATGCAGTTTAAGAGGAAGTCCGCTGCAGAGGAAGTCTGTGTGATGCCACAAAGATGCCAAAGGAACTGGCTTACGTGAATGAGAAGTGCAAAGATCTTTCATTCTCATGCTGACTGAGTATCAGACTATTTTGAGTACAAGTCCTGGACTAAACAGTTTGAAGGCTTTGCCAAGATGATGTCCTGTTATGCACATTTTTACTTTTTACATGAAAGTCTGTCATAATCTGGCAGCGTTATAATCGGCAAAAGAGCGTGTGTTTAAAAAGCAAGTGCTGTTAATTTGAATTTTGTTTACATTTATTAATCCAGCAGATGTTTTTATCTAAAGTGAGGATGGTTAAATTCAAGTTCCTCCAGTTCGATCAGGGGCCAAATGCACATATCTTCTGTTCATCTCTGATCGTGGAGAAGCAGAAATCAGTATAGCTTCATGCTACAATGCACTTTAAATGAGTCAGACCACTGGAAAAGCTGCCTTAGGGCTCTTAGGCATTAAATTGCATTTGAGTTTGATTTTTATGATTTTAAATATTGTGTTTCTAAAAGTCTGATCTTAAGATGTTCATTATGGCATTGCTATATGAAACCTTTTTTTTCTCTTAATTGTTTTCATTCTGTTTACAACGAGCCATTCCTTTAAGACCAATTCATAAGCATCATTTGATGGTATTTTGATCTCATTCAGTTCATTCTTTTATTTTATTCTCTATGTTTCTACTTTAATCAAAGCTAGTGTGCAGAAAAGTATCAGCTGATGTGCTTGGATCTGACTGATTGTCATTTATGAGGTTTTGTTTTTGTTGCCCATGTCTTTTCAGTCCTGCCAAGAACACTTTTACAAACACGAATCAGAGTTACGATAATGTCTAATAAGTTGTGTCTGTGTTCCTTTGAAATGTTTTTTCGGTCATGTTTATTTTTAGACTTCAGCTGTGTAAATTGCTGCTTGAGGAAAATGTTTACCTGTTTAATGTTGGGAAACATGAATTGTGTTTTATAAAAATATGAATTCATTAAATATTTTTCTAAATGGGAAGCAAGTTCATCTTTGTATATATTGCTTGCGTATGTGCTGCAGGACTGAGATATCAGTAGGTATCAGAGCTCAATGATAGAGTTATGAAAACAATCCTTATAACAGGGTAAATTGTACAGTAGATCATATTCATTTATTGTTACATTTAACTACATTTTAAACCTAAATTAAGCCTTTTTTTAAATTATTGATAATTTCCTTTAAGGTGCACCCAAAGTCTTTTTAAAATGCTATTTAAGTTGAATTTAAAAATATATACTAATTTGATACATTTAATATTTTTTTAATTACCCTTGTCTTTTGTAAGTGCAATTTAAATTTAATTTAAAAAGTATTCATATTAACTTTTTGATACTTTTAACTACATTTTATACCAAAATTAAGCCATTTGTAATTTATTTACTGATTTCAAATGTGATTTCAAAGTTGTTGTTTTTTTATTATTAAATAATAATTGATTTGCTTTTTGTAAGGTGCATCCCTAGTCTTTTGTAAATGCAGTTTGTTGAATTTAAATATATTGAATTTAATATAGTGGGATATACATTTACTTACATCGACCAAGTTTTTAAAATTCAATTTAAGTTATATTTAACTACATTTTAAACCTAAATTAAGCCCTTTTTTATTCATTTGTTAATTTCAAATGTTTCTTCTTTTTTTTTCATGCATGCTTTTCTTGGGCAAACAATTATAGAAAACAATCACTAATTTTGAGAATCCATCAAATGAGGATGAATGGCCCAGATCTGTGGCGTGGGTTTGGGCTCAGAGAGGCAGTGAGACCAGAGAGAGAGAGAGAGAGAGAGGGGATAGTGAGCAGGGTTGTGATGACCGCAGTCTGAATCCTCTTGGCTCGCGCCCTGTCCGTGCCCGCTGTACCCACGCTGGCAGCAGAGCAAGCTGGTGGCTGCGGGCAACTCCTGCCAACTCACAGCCTATTGAGAGGCAGTCTGATGGACACAATTTCGAACGACAGACTTGCTGCATCAACAGCAATCGACGCCCAACCCATTTCTGCTGCTGTGGACGGAATTAAACCATAAATACCCCCCAGGTCCCCTCCACTCGCCCAGCGCACCCTCACCTCCATACACACTCCTCACACACACACACCCTCATACACACACACGCTGAGAGAGAGTGGAGGGGTGAGAACTGCTGAAGGTGAAGGACGGGAGAAACAGGTAAAGATATGTTCAGCCTTCATCTGAAGTCTTACTTTTCATGTGTGCTGGCAGAAAAAAGAAACTAAATATCATTGTCATAGAAATCTGTCTTGGGTTTAATTGGATACCTAATGCAGTGTAATTGAAATACAGAAATTGGTATAAAAGAGAAAGGAAAATCATTTTTAGAGAGTTTTTTCTTGATCAAGACTAATCTATTTGATCCAACCTTTTATTGATAAAACAAGAAAGTTTACTAAATGTTTTTGTCTTCATTGTCATCGCTAGATCTATTGTTTTAGTTTAAAACCTATAACAAACCTCTTTTTTGTGAATTGAAAAGAAAGATGCATTAGCATTTTGTTATCTGTTTTGTTTTGTATTTTGTTTTGTTTTATTTTTGCCATCCGACTAAGAACATTTTTACAATTACGATAGATATGTTACAATAATGAGCATAATAAGCCGAGTTTAATTGTGTCCCTTTTGAATGTTTTTCAGTCAGTGTTTTTTGTTTTGTTTTGTTTTGTTTTGTCCGTCCTACCAAAAACATTTTTTCAAACACAATACATGTTACAATAATGAGCATAATAAGCTATGTTTAATTGTGTCCCTTCTGAAGTTTTTTCAGTCTTTGTTTTGTTTTGTTTTGTTTTGGCCGTCCTACCAAAAACATTTTTTCAAACACAATACATGTTACAATAATGAGCATAATAAGCTATGTTTAATTGTGTCCCTTCTGAAGTTTTTTCAGTCTTTGTTTTGTTTTGTTTTGTTTTGGCCGTCCTACCAAAAACATTTTTTCAAACACAATACATGTTACAATAATGAGCATAATAAGCTATGTTTAATTGTGTCCCTTCTGAAGTTTTTTCAGTCTTTGTTTTGTTTTGTTTTGTTTTGGCCGTCCTACCAAAAACATTTTTTCAAACACAATACATGTTACAATAATGAGCATAATAAGCTATGTTTAATTGTGTCCCTTCTGAAGTTTTTTCAGTCTTTGTTTTGTTTTGTTTTGTTTTGGCCGTCCTACCAAAAACATTTTTTCAAACACAATACATGTTACAATAATGAGCATAATAAGCTATGTTTAATTGTGTCCCTTCTGAAGTTTTTTCAGTCTTTGTTTTGTTTTGTTTTGTTTTGGCCGTCCTACCAAAAACATTTTTTCAAACACAATACATGTTACAATAATGAGCATAATAAGCTATGTTTAATTGTGTCCCTTCTGAAGTTTTTTCAGTCTTTGTTTTGTTTTGTTTTGTTTTGGCCGTCCTACCAAAAACATTTTTTCAAACACAATACATGTTACAATAATGAGCATAATAAGCTATGTTTAATTGTGTCCCTTCTGAAGTTTTTTCAGTCTTTGTTTTGTTTTGTTTTGTTTTGGCCGTCCTACCAAAAACATTTTTTCAAACACAATACATGTTACAATAATGAGCATAATAAGCTATGTTTAATTGTGTCCCTTCTGAAGTTTTTTCAGTCTTTGTTTTGTTTTGTTTTGTTTTGGCCGTCCTACCAAAAACATTTTTTCAAACACAATACATGTTACAATAATGAGCATAATAAGCTATGTTTAATTGTGTCCCTTCTGAAGTTTTTTCAGTCTTTGTTTTGTTTTGTTTTGTTTTGGCCGTCCTACCAAAAACATTTTTTCAAACACAATACATGTTACAATAATGAGCATAATAAGCTATGTTTAATTGTGTCCCTTCTGAAGTTTTTTCAGTCTTTGTTTTGTTTTGTTTTGTTTTGGCCGTCCTACCAAAAACATTTTTTCAAACACAATACATGTTACAATAATGAGCATAATAAGCTATGTTTAATTGTGTCCCTTCTGAAGTTTTTTCAGTCTTTGTTTTGTTTTGTTTTGTTTTGGCCGTCCTACCAAAAACATTTTTTCAAACACAATACATGTTACAATAATGAGCATAATAAGCTATGTTTAATTGTGTCCCTTCTGAAGTTTTTTCAGTCTTTGTTTTGTTTTGTTTTGTTTTGGCCGTCCTACCAAAAACATTTTTTCAAACACAATACATGTTACAATAATGAGCATAATAAGCTATGTTTAATTGTGTCCCTTCTGAAGTTTTTTCAGTCTTTGTTTTGTTTTGTTTTGTTTTGGCCGTCCTACCAAAAACATTTTTTCAAACACAATACATGTTACAATAATGAGCATAATAAGCTATGTTTAATTGTGTCCCTTCTGAAGTTTTTTCAGTCTTTGTTTTGTTTTGTTTTGTTTTGGCCGTCCTACCAAAAACATTTTTTCAAACACAATACATGTTACAATAATGAGCATAATAAGCTATGTTTAATTGTGTCCCTTCTGAAGTTTTTTCAGTCTTTGTTTTGTTTTGTTTTGTTTTGGCCGTCCTACCAAAAACATTTTTTCAAACACAATACATGTTACAATAATGAGCATAATAAGCTATGTTTAATTGTGTCCCTTCTGAAGTTTTTTCAGTCTTTGTTTTGTTTTGTTTTGTTTTGGCCGTCCTACCAAAAACATTTTTTCAAACACAATACATGTTACAATAATGAGCATAATAAGCTATGTTTAATTGTGTCCCTTCTGAAGTTTTTTCAGTCTTTGTTTTGTTTTGTTTTGTTTTGGCCGTCCTACCAAAAACATTTTTTCAAACACAATACATGTTACAATAATGAGCATAATAAGCTATGTTTAATTGTGTCCCTTCTGAAGTTTTTTCAGTCTTTGTTTTGTTTTGTTTTGTTTTGGCCGTCCTACCAAAAACATTTTTTCAAACACAATACATGTTACAATAATGAGCATAATAAGCTATGTTTAATTGTGTCCCTTCTGAAGTTTTTTCAGTCTTTGTTTTGTTTTGTTTTGTTTTGGCCGTCCTACCAAAAACATTTTTTCAAACACAATACATGTTACAATAATGAGCATAATAAGCTATGTTTAATTGTGTCCCTTCTGAAGTTTTTTCAGTCTTTGTTTTGTTTTGTTTTGTTTTGGCCGTCCTACCAAAAACATTTTTTCAAACACAATACATGTTACAATAATGAGCATAATAAGCTATGTTTAATTGTGTCCCTTCTGAAGTTTTTTCAGTCTTTGTTTTGTTTTGTTTTGTTTTGGCCGTCCTACCAAAAACATTTTTTCAAACACAATACATGTTACAATAATGAGCATAATAAGCTATGTTTAATTGTGTCCCTTCTGAAGTTTTTTCAGTCTTTGTTTTGTTTTGTTTTGTTTTGGCCGTCCTACCAAAAACATTTTTTCAAACACAATACATGTTACAATAATGAGCATAATAAGCTATGTTTAATTGTGTCCCTTCTGAAGTTTTTTCAGTCTTTGTTTTGTTTTGTTTTGTTTTGGCCGTCCTACCAAAAACATTTTTTCAAACACAATACATGTTACAATAATGAGCATAATAAGCTATGTTTAATTGTGTCCCTTCTGAAGTTTTTTCAGTCTTTGTTTTGTTTTGTTTTGTTTTGGCCGTCCTACCAAAAACATTTTTTCAAACACAATACATGTTACAATAATGAGCATAATAAGCTATGTTTAATTGTGTCCCTTCTGAAGTTTTTTCAGTCTTTGTTTTGTTTTGTTTTTTGTAAGAAGTTTTTTCAGTCATTGTTTTGTTTTTCCCCTACTACCAAGAACATATTTTTACAAACACAATATATATAATGTAATAATAATTTCAGTTTTATAAATTGCTGCTTAAGGAATATGTTTACCTGTTTAATTTTGGGGAAACGCAAGTTGTGTTTTGTAAAAAAAAAAAAATACTGTTCATATCAGTTATGAATATTTTGCATGATTATGCATATTTCTTCAAAATAAATGCCTCTTGTTTTGATATTTTGTTATCTAATGCAATATTTATGTATTTATAAGTGTCCAAATGTGCTTTGTGACCATCCACTTTAGATTAAATCTCCTGTTTTCTTTTGGTTCAACATTTAATTGAAGTTATTTACTCTTCTCATGTTTTTAGCTCTCTCACAGCAATGGCTGGTGTGTGACCCTATTCAGAATCGCTTTTTTCTCATCTCTGACATGTGTTTGTGTTTTTGACAGGTGGAGAGATGTCGGATCAGCAGGGAGTCACAGATCAGCAGGTTGCTGGGAAGAGTCAAGGAGGAGCAGGAGCGGTTTACAAGGTCCAAATGTACTCATTTATACAGTTATTTTTCACAGACAAAAAGCCCAGAGGAAACTCTTTTATTTGTTTTGGCCGTCCTACCAAAAACATTTTTTCAAATACAAAGCATGTTACAATAATGAGCATAATAAGCTATGTTTAATTGTGTCCCTTCTGAAGTTTTTTCAGTCTTTGTTTTGTTTTGTTTTTTGTAAGAAGTTTTTTCAGTCATTGTTTTGTTTTTCCCCTACTACCAAGAACATATTTTTACAAACACAATATATATAATGTAATAATAATTTCAGTTTTATAAATTGCTGCTTAAGGAATATGTTTACCTGTTTAATTTTGGGGAAACGCAAGTTGTGTTTTGTAAAAAAAAAAAAATACTGTTCATATCAGTTATGAATATTTTGCATGATTATGCATATTTCTTCAAAATAAATGCCTCTTGTTTTGATATTTTGTTATCTAATGCAATATTTATGTATTTATAAGTGTCCAAATGTGCTTTGTGACCATCCACTTTAGATTAAATCTCCTGTTTTCTTTTGGTTCAACATTTAATTGAAGTTATTTACTCTTCTCATGTTTTTAGCTCTCTTGCAGCAATGGCTGGTGTGTGACCCTATTCAGAATCGCTTTTTCTCATCTCTGACATGTGTTTGTGTTTTTGACAGGTGGAGAGATGTCGGATCAGCAGGGAGTCCCAGATCAGCAGGTTGCTGGGAAGAGTCAAGGAGGAGCAGGAGCGGTTTACAAGGTCCAAATGTACTCATTTATACAGTTATTTTTCACAGACAAAAAGCCCAGAGGAAACTCTTTTATAGCTCCTGAGACTGAATGGATTCTTGCAAAAACAGACACAACATGTCAATAGCTGACACACAGTAAGAGTCTATGAAGGAATGTAAAAATGTACTCACCCTCAGGGCATCTAAGATGTAGATGAGTTTGTTTCTCCATCAGAACAGATTTGGAGAAATGTAGCATTGCATCACTTGCTCAGCAATGGATCCTCTGCAGTGAATGGGTGCCGTCAGAATGAGAGTCCAAACAGCTGATAAAAACATCACAATAATCCACAAGTGGACTCATATTTTGGTCATAAGCTACGGTTTAAAGTTAAAAATTATGGATTACTTGTGGATTATTGTGATGTTTTTATCAGCTGTTTGGACTCTCATTCTGACGGCACCCATTCACTGCAGAGGATCCACTGGTGAGCAAGTGATGCAATGCTACATTTCTCCAAATCTGATGAAGAAACAAACTCATCTACATCTAACATGGCCTAAGGGTGAGTAAATTTTCAATTTTGGGCGAACTATTCCTTTAATATCTCTTGACTTTTGATTGCAGACTTTGATACTGACAAATTTGAACACAGTTTGAGACGTTGTCTTGAGAAGAAAATTCTGAACAGCAAATATGTCCGCTTGTTCTTCATTTAATTTCATTGCTGTCTAGGGGAAACAAGAGCAGAATGAAGTTCTTCATTAAAATTAATGACAATTTACATAAATGTTTTTACAAATTATTTACACAAATTCTGCTCGTTTTTCATGAATGAAAGAGTTTATGATTTATAGAGTTTATGACAAAGAGTTTATGACTTAAGATGTGTTGAATCATCTTAACAGGTCTCACTGTTTGAATTCGAGAACTTCGGTGGAAAAAAGGTCGAGCTGTCAGCAGAATGCAAGGACTTAATTGAGAAGAACTTGGAAAAAGTTGGATCAATCATAGTTGAGTCTTGCCCGTGAGTACATGTTCTCTACCGTCAAACCACATTATCTACAACCACAAAGGAAGGAATGCAGAATGTTCAGACTGTTCTTGAAAGCAAAAGTTTGAATATGTGCAAACTGGATTTATCTATAGGAGAACTATACAGCAGAAGAAGGTTTTCAGTCTGTTTCGCACACAAATGATATTGATATAAATGATATACTTCAGATGATTATAACATCCAACTCAATGGACTACTTATATCAGTGCTTCTCAACCAGACCTTTCTTAAAATGTATAATAATATAATATAATATAATACAATATATAATATAATGCAAAACTACAATAAGGATATAAAGATGAAATCATGTTTCTTTTTTCTCCTCTATAATGTTTGTTTAGAACAAGCAGTTCTAAAAAAATTTATGGAATCATTATTATTTTACCTATATGGACATTTAATAAAACGTAAATAACGGCTTCAGTTTCTGAATGTAATTTAGATATAGTTATAATTCTGTTAGTATTATATCATATAGAGGGTCTTTAAGTCAAAAAATGTAAGAGCTATTGAAATATCTGAAATATTATATTTGTTTACCTCAGGGTTATTGTCCTTAACTAAAACTAAAACCATAAATAGTTATTTACTTGAAATAAAATAAACATGAAATGAAATAAAATAAAATATTAAAAAACAAATAAAAAAAACTTTAAAAATAACTCAGCTAGTTGCCAAGTAAACATTTCTCATTTTCATTTATAAATGTAATTTTTATTAAGTTGGGAGTACTAAAATAACTCAAACTAAACGAACTTAAAGCTATATAAAGATAAAAAATAAAAAACAGTGAAAACTACTAAAACTTTAACTAAAATGAATATAAAAATATAAAAATAAAATTTAGTTCAAAATATATAAAAAAAACTATAACTGGTAGTAGCTATAATAGTATATAAATGACACTAAAATAACACAGCTTTACCTGCATGTCACGTGACCATTAACCAACATCAGAAATGGTTAAATTATTGAAATATTAACTTAAAATCTCTGGGGTTCTTCAAGTAAATATTTATGTTGAAAGGGATTTGGCTGACAAAGAAAGTTTGTGAATCCCTGCTTTAATCAAAAGGAATCATCCATTTATCCGTCCTGATCTTGATGATCTTGTCATAGATGGGTCGCCTTTGAGCAGAAGGGCTTTCTGGGAGAGCAGTTTGTTTTGGAGAAGGGAGAATATCCTCGCTGGTCCTCCTGGACCAACAGCCAGAGGAGCTACTGCCTCCTGTCCATGAGACCTCTGAGAGTGGTGAGAGACACGTTCACACCTCACACCTGCTTAAAGATCTGCTCTTCTGTCACGGCCCATTGAGTCTTGTGTTTACGCTCTATTACTAGGACAGCGCAGACCACAAACTACATCTGTTTGAGAACTGCAGCTTTGCCGGGAGAAAGATGGAAATCGTGGATGATGACATTCCCAGCTTGTGGGTTCACGGCTTCCAGGACCGTGTGGCCAGTGCCAAAGCTGTCAACGGAACGTGAGTTTGAGAGTTTGTTTGAGATTGTTTTCTTGCCGCTGCTATCCAAAGACCATTAACTCATGAAGCTTGATTTTTCGAGATGGTTTTGATTTTTGTTTCAATCCTTATTTTTCCTGATTACAAACAGTCTGTATGTTTAAAGTCAATGTGATCTCAAAATGTACTCTCTTTTTACTTCCTAAATACATTTTCCTGGACATCAGTGCATGTTATTTGAAAGAAACTACCTTTCAAAAGTTTGGGGTCAGTTTTTTATTTTATTTTTTAAAAATGTATCAGAAAGTGACAATAAAGACATTTATAACGCTACAAAAGATTTCTAATTCAAATAAATGCTGTTCTTTCTCTTCATCGAAAAAATCTTTAAAAATCTTTGCTTTTACAAAAAATATTAAGCACAACAACTGTTTTCAACATTTATAATGATTATGCATTCAAGTTTTACATTTGCCGTTCTTGGTGCCATGCTCTACTCGTTTATTATTGTTAACTAAAACTAAAACTATAACCAGAAAAAAAAAAAAAAAGTTACTTGAAATAACATAAACATAAACTAAAATAAAACATTTCTCATTTAGTTTAGGTTAACACTAAACACTAATACTTAATAAATTATTTAATATTAAATAATATAAATATATTTTTTAAATGAATAAATAAAAATGACAAAAAAACATCAAATTTATTAAAACTTTAACTAAAATGAAAAAAGAATAAATTATAATTCAAAATAACAAAAACCGAAAATGAACAAAAATGTAATTAAGCATTAATTTAACAAAGGTTACATCTATAATAACAAATAACAAAAGATTTTAAAAAATAAACATTAGAAAAAGTGTTTCAATCCACAACAAACTCAAATTTGACTCCATTCTTACATAAAATGGCCAATTTATCCAATCATAAAAGCAAGTCTGGTGTTTTTTTTTCTTGTCAAATATATATTTTTTATGTGACAAAAGTAAATTGATTGGATTCAAATGCTGTTTCATGTTGACTTCTAGTGCAGCAAATAAATCCACAAGCAATCAGTGTCTTCCATTTTCAAAAAGGTTCTTTAGATTATTAAAAAGTTCTTCACACTAAGAAAAAAATTGTTCTTTTAAAATCTGATCACTGACATGTTCTTTGGGGAGCCAAAAATGGTCCACCTTTAAGATCCATGGAACCTTTCCATTGCACATAACGTTCTTTATAGTGGAAAAAGATTCTTCAGATTCTTAAAATATTCTTCAGCCTAAGAAACAAAAATGGTTCTTTTAAGAACTGTTCATTGTAAGGTTCTTTTGGAAACCCAAAATGCTTCCTCTATGGCATTCCTGCGAAAGCCTCCTTTTGGAACTCTTATTTTTAACAGTGTACACATCCTAAATATGTACTTAATTGATATAGTGATTTTTTCGGACACTATTTCCACAGTCGAGAATGACTTCAATCTCTTTCCTCAGGTGGGTGGGCTACATGTACCCTGGCTACCGCGGGCGTCAGTTCGTGTTTGAACATGGCGAATACAAACACTGGAACGACTGGGGAGCCACAGAACCACAGCTGCAGTCCGTCCGGCGTGTGCGTGACATGCAGTGGCACAAACGGGGCTGCTTCACCGTCCCCGACCCGGCTCCCAAACCCAAACCCAATCCCAACCCTAATCCAAACCCAAACCCAAACCCCAGTCCCGCTCCCGCCCCCGCTCCCGCTGCCCCATCCGCCATGGCTGCCAGCAGCTGAAGGAGAACGGCCAGCCCTGCCGATGACCTCTGCCCTGCACCTGCTCAGAGGACCACGAAGAAAGCTCGAAAGCAAAAGTGACTGCCTTGCCTCTTGTGTGTCTATCATTGGAAATAAAGGCCTCGGCCCCATGCTTTGATCTCTGACCTTTGGCTCGTGTCTGATTTTATTTGTATTTTTCTGCTAGACTGATATAACACTGAAAATACCACAAGTTTAGTAATGAATGCTGCAGCAAGGCTGCACTTGCATAGAGGAGAAACAATAATGTACAGTATGTGGAAAATAATGTGTTTTTTTTACTTTAAACCGCATAAACACATTTCATTACACCAAATACACAAAATAATGTTCTTTTTAGCAGCATCATATGACCCCTTTAAGAAACATTTCTGATTATTATCAATGTTGAAAACTATTTTTGTGGAAACTGTGATACTTTTTTCAGGATTCTTTAATGAAGTTCAAAAGCACAGCATTAATTTGGAATAAAAGTATTTTGTGATTGTAATCTTTACTTTCAATTTAATGTAAATTTAATGCATCCTTTCTTTAAGAAAAATCCCCAAACGTTTTAATGGTAGTTTAACAATAAAGGAAACTTGTTAAAATGTTTACTCCTACCCTAGTTAAACATGCAAACACTTGCAGATAAAAGACACTTTTTATTTATTTGTAGTAATTGCATTACAAGGCCACAACCATTTCCTGAAAATTAGTTTATTTATTTATTAAGAATAAGGAAGTCAAATTCTAGGTCAAATTCTAGTTCTGAAGTAATCATTTTGAACTATTTGCAAATAATATTTTAATATGCACACATGCACTTACAGTACGTTTCTTGTCTGGTCACATTCAATTTAGGAACTACAGGAATCACCAATTTCAAAACGGCCATATTCAGTGTTGCCAATTTAGCTACTTTGTAGCTAGATTTAGCGACTTCCCCGCCCCTTTTGAGACTTTTTTTTCAAAGGTTTAGGGACAAATATAGCAACTTCTTGGACAAACCTTATCTAAGTTCTCATCTTGCCCACTGATCTACATTAATCTTTATATAGATCAGTGAATTTGCCATTGTGATGTCATCTGGTGACATTTAGCTACTAGTTTTAGCTACTTTCAATTGAAAGCAGTTGGCAACACTGGCCATATTTGAGGAAAAAAAAGGTCGAGTAGTTCACATCACTGGATACTACTGTCAGCCGTTTAACATTTCTATCATAAAACAGTTTTCAAATATGAAACGTTTCGCTACTTCCATCTTACCTCGCTCTCTTTCAACATTAAAACTGTAGCTTCGCGCTGGAAATCGCACTCTCTGATTTGGTGACCAATAAACCCCACCTACTTTCATTTGATTGGCCATCTCAATCACTTTGACTTCGACGAGTGCTTTTAGACAGCTAAAGGCAAACCAGACTAAAATTGTAGAATCAATTGTAAACCTTTTTGTCATGACTTGCACCTTGCATAATTGCAAGTGCACAAAATGCTTTATTCGTTTAATTTTGAGCCATAAGGCCGGGTACACTGTGCGATTTTCGTCCGATTTTGAGCCGGAATTCATCCGACCGTCCAACTGCCGGTTGGGAGAGGTTAATGGCTTCTCGTTTCCCCCTGCACACTACACGAACACTGCACGACAAACGACAAATCTGAAATTCGCTCCGACTCAAAAAAAGAGTCGCATGAGTCAGAATTCGGCTCAAAATCAGGTGAAAATCGCACAGTGTTTACCCGGCTTAAAAGTGAACATGAAATTAAGACTGACCTGACATAGGCTAATATTTCTTCATAATTGCTTCATTTCTGAGACAACTTCTCAGCTGATGGCACCAGTGATATATACTTTGTCCTCCCCTCCAATCATCTCCATCCTTATCCACTCATAAATACATAAATACAAATACAGAATGGCTTTTCATGTTGTCTGTATTTCTGAAATCTATCATTTCTCCTCTCAGCTTTTAGGCAAACTATTGTCCATATTGGTGTGCATACGTGTGTGTATTTCTCTTGATTTCCTTTCATCCTCTGAATGTCTTTCCTGTCTCTTTGTAAGTCGTTGGCTCTTGGCAGGACTTCAGCTGAGTCATGTGAACGGAGAACAAAGCGTGGCAGCCTCCAAAAGTGACAACTAATGAAATAGCTCCAGGCTGATGAGGGCAGGCCAGGGCTTGGCTTGCCGTGGTTTGGCATTGCTGTCACGAATGATGATGAAAAAATATGGCAAGCTTCCACTGCCGGTCCAAATCGCCTATCCACGGCATACCGATGAGGTTACCAAACCAGACTAGGCCTTTCTATGCCTCACCAAACTACTAGTGCAGGCAGATTTTGGTGAGGAAAACACAACTGTGACTCTAAACTCTAAATACTATCTAAGATAGCTGAACTATCTAAATATTTTGCAAGCTACTGTGAATCTCACATTATTGTGCAAAAGATAATTATTGATGAAATCTAACATTTTGCAGATTCACTGAAACAGCAGCGTCAGTTTAGTTTAAAACGAATAATTTTTTATTATTATTTAATATTTTTAACGGCAAATAATTACATTTGTAATTTTTATTTTAAAAAATTTAATTATTATCATTATTTTTAAATTGACTTATTAATTTTTACAAATTATTATTTGATTATTTTTAATTTGTTTTAATTGAATTATTATTTTTTGTATTTGTAAATAATTGTTTTTAACTGCTATATGGTTTTTTTTTAATTGTGTGATTAATTTTTTACAAATTATTTTTTTAATTATTGTTAACTGCAAATAATTATAATTGAATTATTATTTTTTATTATTATTTTTAACTGCTAATGTTTTTTTAATGTTTGCTAATTATTTTATTTATAATATTATTTATATAATTTATTTTATTTTCATTATTTACTTTCCTTATTTATTAAATTAGATTATTTATATATATATATATATATTTTTTTTTTTATTTTTTTTATTTTTTTTCTCTCTCTGTCTTTTATACACTGGAAAAATGGTGTAGGATTTACTTTGAATTAATTTTCCCTCCAAAATTCCTAGTAAATTTAATGAATAATTACAAAGAAACAGCAAGTAAAGCAGTGAATTAAATGTGAAATTTTGAAAAGACTGAAATTGTACTTTCTTATAAAACATACTCCGATAATATTTTATTTAATAGTTTTATTTACAACATTAAAAAACTTTTCTTTTTACAATATATTTGAAGGTCTATTTCAATCCAAACTGCAGAAACTAGTCATGTTTAATTCAAGCCATGAGCAACAAAGCTAGATTATTTGATTAAAAATCCGCATGCATTTATTTTGATATAGTAGCTTGTAGAAGACTGAGACAATTATTTTCTCTCTAAAACAGTTTGTACATGGTGCCGCAAACAACCTCACTGGAAAAGAGAACAGATGTTTGATGTTTATTCAAATGAGTTTTTAAATAATTGCATTCTTTCTAGCGTGTGTCAGTTCAGTTGCCGGATTTAAGAGGAAGCAGTTTCCTAAAAACAGCAGAACAACAGAAACATGTCACAATTTGTGATTCTATTTTAGAATCAAACGATTTTTTGACAAGTTTCCCCAAGGGCCTTTAATAACCCTTATTCTTTCATTTTTCATTTGTGCGTTTCTTTTCTTCTGTCTGAGAAGGTTCACAGTGATCCAGCTCATCGTGTAGATGTTTTGTTCCTCGTCCAGTTGGCTTCAGCAGTTGTGAAATTAAGATTTCCTGGCGTTTGAAATCATTGCACACAATATGATGCCATTAGAGAGTTGCATTCAGGCCTTTGCTGTCCTGAAAGCAGTGTGTGTATTTGAGAAGTGTCTAGGAGTTATTCTGCAAAACATATCGATGAGGTTCCCAAACCAGACTAAGCCTTTGCTTCACCAAACTACTAGTGCAGGCAGATTTTGGTGAGGAAAACACAACTGTGACTCTAAACTCTGATGTAATCACTGTAGATGCTGAACTGTCTAAATATTTTGCAAGCTACTGTGAATCTCACATTATTGTGCAAAAGATAATTATTGATGAAATCTAACATTTTGCAGATTCACTGAAACAGCAGCTTCAGTTTAGTTTAAAACGAATTATTTTTTATTATTATTTAATATTTTTAACGCCAAATAATTACATTTGTAATTGTAATTTTTAAAAATGTAATCATTATGATTATTTTTAAATTGAATTATTAATTTTTACAAATTATTATTCGATTATTTTTAATTTGTTTTAATTGAATTATTATTTTTTGTATTTTTAAATAATTGTTTTTAACAGCTACATGGTTATTTTTTGAATTGTATGATTAATTTTTACAAATTATTTTTTTAATTATTGTTGCTAATAATTATTTATAAT